TGAAAAGTAGTGTTAAAAATGCATTTCCACAGATGTCATGGTTTCATTGCATTTCCTCTCTTAAAACGTATTTAGTAACATTTTGATTCACCCAGAATTAGCTTGTATGCCTATCGTATAGTCAAAGGAGGTAATGACACATGTAAAATTCTAACACTCTTAACTATGATTCTTCTACAATGTACTTGTGCTTATAAAAGACAGGACAGCAACGTAATTAGGTCATGTCATTTTTATTAGATTAAATATATAGTTTCCCAAACCAAATACCGTATAATAAATTCAAGCGGCCAAATACAAGACTACCAAGACTGCTTTTTGCAGATGTTATACATTGTTCATTGAGGAGTGAACTGATGGTAAATATGGAAAATTAAGAAGTGGAAGTAACAGAGATCTTTCTGTACAATCTACTTAAACAGAAATTGTGTATTCCGGGAGAAAAACTAAAATATCATTTCCATTAATCACTAGTTGTCAGAATTATTTCTTAAAGAAAAATTCCTATGAATTTCTGAGAGCTTATAGTAAATGCAAGAAGATTATTACATAGCATTTTTCAGCTGACATAGTAGAAATTAAAACCAATCATTCTGGAAAAAAATATATGGCCAATCATGCTGTTGGTGTTCACTGCACGTTGAAGTAAAATGGTGGAAATTGTACCATGTGATGGGGAACAAATATGAAATTCATATCCAAATTGAAGCACTGATGTGCTTCTGCTGAATACATTTAGACGACAGAGCAGCATAAATGAAGGACATAAAGCTACAGGGAAAAGGGGGCCATGTTGAAAGGCCCAGTAATTTTGCTTGGTGCTATAACTATATTCAACAGTGCACAAAGGGACAGCAGTGAGGGGTAGGTAGGTACCTAGTCATATGTATTGACCATCATTTGGTGCCTTTTTTCGCTCTCTTGTTGCACGTGTAGATTCGTGGTACTCTTGTCTGTCTGTCTCTCGGCTCCTATGTTGTACTAGAAGCAATTGTGTGTTGTGTGGACCACTTCTCATATTTTCCATTGCTAGTGTGCTATTCCTTAGGAATAGAGTCTTCTGGTTCTCCCTTCTTGTCTATGTAGACATTTACAGTGCTCTATTGGTGAAGTATCTGAATACTTCCCAAACGTTAAAAAGAATAAACAAAATGACCTCTTTCCTTCTCAGAGGTAGGATTATACTTGAGTGGTTAGTAGAAATTATGTGTGAGAGTTTATTATGGGAAAGCTAGGTTGAAAAGATATTTTGTATGTAATTGTGAAAATTGTGAGGTCCTTTGTCATCTATGTCTCCTATGAGAGTGAGGCCCACAGTTACATTCAGCTCCTGTTAACGATCTGTCTTTTGTAATCAATAACCCTTCCTCATGGTTATTGTTCTGGTGGAACATAGCTGCTGCAGAGGTCATGGTAGCAAAGGGAGAGGTGATCTCCCAGGTCAGTAGAGTCAGCATGATAAATATTTTTGTGTTTCAAGACAGATCTAGAATTGGACTTTGTACACAGTGGGAAGATTACCAGTGTGATGTGATGTGACCACAGCAACTTTGTTACTTAGCAAATGGTCTTCTCAATTTTGTACCAATTGGTGCTTGTCCAGGACACATGACTTCTTTTCTTGATACAGTGTGCTGCAATAATCAAGGTCATGAATGTGTGGATGACTATGGTCAGGAATGCATTCCATAATTTGATATTAAATTTTCTACCAAGCCACAGACAGAAATGGTAGGGTTTTTTGCAATTAGTGTCATGTGGACATCTGATAACATTAAATTCAACAGGATCACAATGCTTCAAAGCAATTTAACAATCTGAGGACAGATGTCCTTAAGATTGGACTTTATGGAAGAGGCTAGTTCTTCTAAGTGCTTTTTCTCTCCCTACAAGTCACCTCCACCTTGCCTAGATCAGCTTTAGCCAGCTGCTCTTCATCATTGTACTTATTTCAGGATGAGAAAGCTGGAAGAGGGTGCTGTTATATTCAGTGTGAAGGAGATGTTGATTCACCTATTTCCCCAGTGGCTTTCTGTAGATATTAAATAAGATAGAAGATTGGAATGAGCCGTGATGGATTCCACAGGTGAGTGCAGTGGAGATGGAGGAACAATTTCCCATCACAGCCCTCTCATGAGGTGCCTCCTACAGTCCTATTGCCTATTGGAGGTGGGACTGTAGTGTTTGGGGATCAGTACTAATAGATGCTGTTGCAAGGTCCAACAGGATGACTATGGATGTACTGCCCCAGTCTATAGAAATCAATTACCTCTACCATTCTCTGGCCTGAAGCCAGTGCTGTAGGGATACTGACAGCTGACATAGGAGATTGTGTTTTTGCTAGTGCTGTGATATCATGTGGAGGAAAAAAAGAAAAGAATCTAATGTGTCTTTTAAAAATCAATTTAAGCTAACCTGGACCTCAAACAGTAAAATTGCTTAATCCTAACCATATGCTTATTGCTTGGTAATGCAGAGTTAAGGTCGTTTGTGTATCCTAACTGTACATTTCCATAACTTAAGATGTTTAGATTTCTCTCCACCCCCACCCCCCCCCAGTTTAACCTTGAATCTGGATTGCGTGGGTTTATAATGCTTAGTTTGGGGAAACCTACAATAACCATGTAATGTATTTGAACATAAATTACTAATATGTACTCTTGACCTTTACTACATCTCAACATAATTTTGAGCTGGGAATGGATAAAAATATGTGGGATTGGTTTTATATCTAATCTGGAAAAGCATTGGACACTTTTGTTTTATACCTTTTGAGAAACAGACCACAGTCACTGATAATGGGTTTTGCACTGTAGTTGTAATCTTTTTAACTCTAATGCATTATTTTATATTTTCCAAATGGATCTCTTTCCTTCAGGATTCTATTGATGCTGCACTAAATGGATTGATTTAAAACTCTGAAAATTCAAAGATAAACATACAGACACAAATTCTTTGGATAGTTCTACACTTAATCTGTATTCTCTTTCCCATAGTTGCCCATTAAAATGTGTAAATACCAGCTTTCCCCTTTCTAATCACCGTCTCCTTTTGATGCTCAGTTCCTTCAATGATTTCATACACCCTATCATATAAGTCAGGGATCAGCAACCTTTGGCATGCAGCCCACCAGGGTAAGCCCCCTGGCGGGCCGGGACGGTTTGTTTACCTGGCATGTCCGCAGGTTCGGCCGATTGGAGCGCCCACTGTCTGCGGTTCGCTGTTGGCCTGAAACAGCAAACCGCAGCCAGTGGGTGCTGCGATTGGCCGAACCTGCGGATGCACCAGGTAAACAAACTGGCCTGGCCCGCCAGGGGTCTTACACTGGCGTGCCACGTGCCAAAGGTTACTGATCCTTGATATAAGTAATTGTGATGCCTAAAATATTAAACTGAAGCATCACTGAAGGACGCAGGTAGAAGTAGCCGGCTGCTTATATTATTTTATTATTCACTGACGGCCACAAGTGTGCTCAGGGTGGCACAAATATAAATGAAGACACAGTCACTGCCCAAGAACGGAAACGGGTTTCTTGGAATTTATTACTGACAAGTATTCTGGTCAGCAGTTTTTCCAGCATTCTTTTTTAAATCATGCCTTCAGAATTTGAGGGCACCAATTTTATGCATGCAAAAAAATTTAATTGTGCAAACAGATCAATATATGCATGTGCAAAATGAATTCAGTTGGACAATTTTGTGGTCTAAAGGGTAGTTAAGGAACTAATAGTAGATATGTCCAGAAAGGAATGGGAGATAACTGTTAAACAGGTATTTACTTTTGGCGGGGGGAAGTGAAAATAAGCTGAGGGAAGTGGCACAGTGCATGTAAACATGTTGACTTTTCACCTCTGGGGACCAATAGAAGTTGTTGCATTAACCCATCTAATTTTTTCTTTGTCTGTACCAGTGCTGTTAACTTCGCTTTATACATCTGGAGAACTGAATTAAGTTTGGTGTCAGATGCAAATCAGTTTCAGTTTAGTGTCAGTCATCAGAGGCCATATTTTCAAAAATAAATGTGCTAAGTTCACATACACTATGTGTGTACACAAACTTCAGTGCAAACACTGCATCCATAGAGAATTCTGAATTGGGGAGAGCTGGCAAATATAACACTACACACACAATGTTGCAAATGTGGCCCTCAATGTACAGGATGACCACACAATTTAGTACAATTTCTTTGCAAGACAGTTTCAGAAATGAAGTAGCAGGGGTTCATACAGTTCAGGTAATAAGAGAACCGTCACTATCAGAGCATACATACACACAGAATAGAGTGTTCAATGTATAAAGAGTGCAGCAAAAGACACTTTAGCATTTTTCAATGGGAGGCAGCTGAGAAGGATGACAATATGGTCTCATTTTAGAAATGCAGTTTCAATGGTAACACACATTTTTTACTGATCCTAAGCCGCATATATTCCTAGAGTTAGCCATACTCAGAAAACACAGTTGCACATGATTACAGTTAAGATTCCTTTACAGGAAAAACAGGTGAGTGCCTGCAAATGGGATTGCTATGAACATACCAAATGGGCCAGCTTAGTCCCTCCATATATACAGCCAGATCTGCTTGTGAGCATTCTTTGATAAATGAGGACATTTAGCTGTGATACATAAATGGAATATCAAGCAGTATATACAGAAGCCAGGTAGGCCACATCAACAGTCAGCCAGGGTCTGCTGAGGATCTGATGGGACTACAAGTGTGGGAAGGGGATCGGAGAGGTTTCTAAAAAACAAGAACATGCTTGATCTGTTTGGCAAAATTTCTGGTTAGCCTGCTTAGACAGTACACAGCTTTCAGTGCCAGAATGCAATATCAGTTTATATTCACATTAGGGACCTGATTCTCATTTACACGAAGGTCCCGGTACACAGCCTCTGGTAGTGTAAAGACACCTTGGTGTAACTGAGGATCAGGCCCTAAATGTTTTTCATGACTGAATTGTTTTTCTTTCTAACAGCTAATGGTATCTCCTCTTTTTCTATTAGGTTGAGAGGATTGTTGACAAAAGGAAGAACAAAAAGGGCAAATGGGAATATCTTATCAGATGGAAAGGCTATGGAAGCAATGAGGACACCTGGGAACCTGAGCATCACCTATTGCATTGCGAGGAATTTATTGATGAGTTCAACGGACTACATGTCACTAGAGAAAAGCGAGCAAAACATGGGAAACAGACCAGTGCACCAAAATTTTTACGAGAAAGCCGAGGGTCATCTGTTGAGAAAATATCACACAGACCTTCTGAATCTGGGAAGGCCAAAGGGTCAACACATAAAAGAAAGCGAATTAACCCATCTCTTCAAAAACAGAAAAGAGGGTACACAGCAAAGCCAGCACCTGCTGGCGACAGAGCCGCTAAAACCGTGACTTACCGAACTACCCCCAGTGGTTTACAGATCATGCCATTGAAAAAGCCTCACAATGGCCTGCAGAATGGAGATTCCAGTCATGAGAAAGATTCTAGACATTTTGGGAATGGCTCACAACAGCAAAACATGGATTTAAATGGCCACGAAGGAGAACATGATTTGCCCAGCATGTTGGAGGTTAATAATGATGTGCCTGTTGTGAATGGAATCGGTATGTGATTTAAACAGCAACAGTCTTTTCTGTTGGGTTTTAATTGTGGCAATTGATAACAAAGAGCCCCATTCATGGAAAAGTTATTGTCATACTGCATGAGTAATAAGCACATGAAAAAGGTCCAGACTCTTTGCAATTTGTACAATTTTCCATCGATCTACTTCTTCACCTCCCTCCCTTTTCCCACTGAGTCATGTGAGGCAATGTGGACTGTGTCACACACCTCTCTGGTGTGTTTTATTTACGGGTATTTGTGGGGGAGGGATACCAAGGAATGGTGTGGGGGCGACAGTTGAGGTATGTACAACACTGAAATTCTGGCTATACCTCCTACCAACTCACTAATAATTGCTTCTCAATTCCACAAGTACTGGCCCAGCACTCCAGAAAAGGCAGGATCTTGGAAACAATCTTAGTATTAATTTTTTGCCTAAAGTTTGTGATAAATGTGCCTGGATAATCTTAAGGTACTTATTACTGCCACTAGTAACATCTTTGAGGTATTTGTTCAGGATTGCCATTCCAGAGCCCGGAAGTCAGTATCTCTGACAGTGACTTGATTCATAGGAAGGTGCAAGGCAAAGACTTCATTGGAAGATACAAGGAATCCTGTAGTAGACAATTTATAATAACCTGCCCAGAGGGGACGTTTATTCCTTACCCCAGTAGTTAGTGGTTGGCTTATGCCCTGGAGAATGGAGTTTATACCTCTTATAAAAAAATCATCCTGTTTAACATAATTGTGGAGTTTCTTATTGCCCACAGAACTGTCAAATCCTTTTTAAATCATACTAAGCACTTGGCATCAATGATACCTTGTATAATTTCCATGGATTAATTATATGTTGTGTATTTCATTTATAGGTTTCTCCCTTTCAATTTAATTGAATATCCACTTGTTCCTATATTCTGTGAAAAGATAAATAGGAGCAACCAATTTACCATGCATCGCCTCAATAAGCCAGGTCTTTTCAATCTCTCCCCATATAGCAGTCTTTCCATGCGTCTAATTATTTTCATTGCCCTTCTCTGGCCCCTTCTGTTTCTGCTGTATATTTCTGGAGATAGTGTGAGCAGACCTGAACGCAGTATTCCAGGTGAGGGTGCACTGCCGACTGATGCACAAGACGGTTTTCAGTATTGTTTTTGATTCCTTTCCTTATACTGCCTAACATTTTGTTTGCTTTTTTGACTGCTGCTGCACAGCAAGCAGAGGGTTTCACTGAGGTGTTCACAATGACCCACCAACCTTTTTTTCTGAGTGATTACAGGTAATTTAGAATCCAGCAACATGTATGAGTAGTTCAAATTCCTTCCATTGTGCATTTTCATCTGCTATCATGTTGCCAATTCACATATCTTTGTTAGGATATCTCTCACATATCTCTCTAGTGCCTCACAATCTCTTCTAATCTTCACTAACCAAATTTTGTTCACTAAAAATGTTTCTATCACTTCACTTCCCTTTCAGATCATTTATATGTATATTAAACAAACCTGTCTTACTACAGGTCCTCAGCGCAGCCCGCTGTTAATCATTTACCATGATGGAACAAATGGTTTCTTTTCCACTCTTTATTTTTATTAGCCAATTTCTAGTCCATGATAGTATTAGTTTCCTTAATAGCCTCTTGTGAATGACTGTCAAAGGCTTTTCGAAAATCCACATAAATCATATCATATCACCCAGTTTTCCATTATCCACTACATTGTGGACACACACTCAAAGAACTCTAGTAGGTTAGAGAGGCACAGTATTCTTTTACAGGAGCCATACTGGGTTGCCCCATCATGGCCATCAAGGTGTTTTTAATTCCTTAATTACCGTTTTGGTATTGTTTCCGTGACACAAAAGTATGCAGTATATTTCGTTGCTAATCTCATAACCTTGATTATTATAGTTACCCCAGCAATTGCCACACTAGACAACCATTGCTGTTATTTGGGTATTACAGAAGAAGTTCACACCTGCATTTTGTGAATTTAAAGCCTCACAAGTGAGACGCACCCTAATGCCCATTAATTTGAACCCTTTCAAGTGCGCATGCAGGCATTAATAGCACTATACTGTGCATGTTAGCCAGTGGAGGCCTGAGGCTGAAAATAAGGCACCTGTGTTCCAATCTGAGCATCCAAATGTCCTGTCCGATCCAGAGAAAGCTCATCTTTAAGCATATGAATAATCCCAATGGCTTCAGTGAGGCAACTCTCATGCTTAAAGCTGAGAGCCTGGGCTTCTGTGCTTTGCTGGGTTTGAGTGAAGGAGTCAATTTGAAAATTGAGCTTCAGCTGTGTTGTGTGTATAACATTTACATTATTTTTCTTTTCTGCAGTTATAGGTTTTAACGAGTGAAGGTTTTTCATGCCTAGTGCTCTTAGTTTTTATTTTTCAGTACACAATATATTTATTCAGAATGCAGTGGTTTTACCACATACCTTTCTTTTATATTTTAAGATCATTTTGTTAAAAGGGGACAATAAAACAAGAACTCGAGGGGCAAAAAAAATTTCATTTGTCCTCACAGGGGAAAAAAATGGCTTCTCCCATTCCTTCTTTGAATAATACCCTGGACAGGTCTGTCCTGAAAAAAAGTCCTTCCTTGCCCTGAGCTCCCAGGTGTGCAGACACTTATGGATGGCTTATGGCAAAACAGCAGATGGCCCGAACTATCTGAGAACATTTCTTTATAATGATTTTTACATTGTATCTCCCCAACTCCTTCACTTCTATTTTTGTGCTTTGCACTCTTGTCTTGCTCCCCTCACTCCATTCTGTTCTTCCTGCAGCCAGAAGCAAAGTGAAGCTGAATTTTGATCACTACATCTTGAGCTTAGATGCATCTCCTCCAAAAGTTCTGTGTCTAGCAGCACTCCTGAGTTCACGATTCCATCCAGTCTCACTTTGCAGTTGCCAACATGCACAATGGAGAAAAGAAAAAGGGGACAAACTATGTAACCAAAATAAGAGGGGAAGGGATAGAAAACGGGGGAGAGGAGGAGCAAGCAAGACAGATTAAAAGTAATGCTTTTGAAGTTTTTACCATAGGCTTTTGAAATTTTTCCATTCCCTGGCAGGAAGAAATTAGAGAGTGTGACAGAAACTGCAGGTAAACCAAAGAAATCTGCATCACTGTTCATTTCCAGCCGAGACGAATACGTTCTCCCCTCAGTTTGCACACTTATAGGAAGGCTTATTAGCATTAATACAGATGCCAGTTGTGATGAGGGCATATGTCTACTTAGTATTGGACTGACATCGCCAATTCCTTTTACATAGGACAGCAGCTAAGTCTTCAGTCATCTCCAATCTTGGCTATAGTCCAACCCAGAGCTTAGAAGTGAAAGGCCCCATATCCCATCACCATGAACCAAAAGTGCCTTTCAGCCTATAGCAATAATGAATAATTGAATTAACCTGATGATTATAATTATGCCATAAGATGAGTAACCCTATAATTAAATAACCTGTATTTTGTCTAGAAAATACCACACATACTAATGATGCTGTAGAAATAAAATAATTATGTTCGGGGACTGAGTTTCAGTGGCTCCCTAAAGTGGCCTCCACTAAGGCATGCCCAGCTTTGTATGCACATACACTTGGATGGGCTAATACTTGCACATCCCACGGATACAATTTTCACCAACAAACTCATAATGTACTTGTAGATGTGTGTGTGCACATGCACGCACATACCTGCATGCACATTACTGGAAGTTTGGACCACTGCGCAGCCATGTCAGACTAAGCGGAGCAGTTGGGATAGCCACAAACACAGCTTTTGCCTCTACAACTCATGGACTTTCTTCCCAGGATCTGCCGGATTGGGAGACTACACCTTTTGCCCACAATCTGCACCCTCCCGACTAAGGAGATAATTTCCTAGAAAAATACTGCCTCTTCCATAGACTTCTCTGCCAAAGGGAAGAATCCAGCCCCGACCTTGAAAGCCCAGATCAAATAGTGCTTACCATCTTCTCCTATTATCTTTTAAGGGAATCAACAGCTGGTGATAAAAGCTTCAAGCACCTCACAATGTACATTAATAGCTATATCTTTAAAATTCTAGTGATCAACCCCACCTTTTAATACATTTACCAAAATAAAAAGAAATCTCCATTCTGCATTCCTCCACTTACTCTTAATATTCCTTAATCACAAGATTACTGTATTTTATTAGTTCTGTTACCTAGAGCGGCGGAACAGAACCATGTAACAAATGACTATATGAATACTTACATCTGCCTCCATTAGGGTAAAAGCTTTTTGCCTGGTGGACATTAGAGGACAACATAATCAAAATGCCCTGAGCCGCACTGGTTCTGTCCACTACGGGGCTGCACTTGCCATACACACAGCTAGTCCATTTCAACACACAGCATTATAATTCCCGTGAAATAGCCACATCCTCTCAGCTCTTTACTGTCAGTAAGTATAAGGGTGTGCTGTAGGTTAATGTACGCTGCTCTTGTTTCCTTTGCATCTGGCCTTAAACTAGGAACACCTATTGTCTTGACATTGCTGAGGAGATGCATGCTGTTAGCCTTGCAGGTCTGGACTCTTTTGCCATTGTGAATGGCAATAATAGGCCAGGCCATGAGGAAAACAAACACTAGGTAAACTCTGGAACATCTGTAGAAACTTTCTGTAGTTTGCAGCAGTATTCTGATGACATTTGTTGTCTTCTGTTATCGCATTGCTCTCTGCTTTTTCATGATACTGCAATTGAGAGTGATTGTTGTGTCAAATTCCTTGACAACATCAAATGTGTCCCTTTAAATAGTCGTCTTCCTGCTCTGCTCTAGTTCTGCACACCATCTGCTGAAGAATTCCTGCTTGTTATGTATCACTAACCACTGTATCTTTCCATTATGAAAACCTTCATAGTGTCATGGTGTCCTTCATTTAAATATTCTCTATCAACCCAGTCTCCTGCTTCCTTTTTTTCCCCTTGTTCTGTTAATTATAGGAAACAGTAAAATGCAACCAAAAATAT